CAGACACAATAAAATAACACAAAATCAGCGCCTGAGCAACATGAAGGTCTCATCTTTTTCCAAGCCACTTGTTGATATTCAGTAAGAACAAACGGCTGCATATATATTGTAAGGGGAGAGAAAGATATGCTTGAGATTTCAGTCATGCTTAAAGCAATGCCAAAGGTTATTGCTGTGCTAGTTGCCCTTGGAGACCAAGATGCTCAATTCAGTCTGCAGAATAAATCCACTGGACAAACAGAGCAAACAACACAGTGATGATGTTTTGTTTTTTTTGTTAGTGTGTTAAAAACACCAAATCAGCTTCAGAGGCACCTTTGAGATTCATCGTGTTTAGATCAAGAGTGCATTCAATCATAGAGACCATGTTAGAGTTCACTGATACAACAGCTCTGGTCCTTTAGTAGAACTGATGGATGTTTCCTTTTTGAGGGGAATTTTTCAATGCAGGAGATTAAAAAAAGGCCATATTTCTAATTTGTTTTTCATACAGTGTTCTGTAGTAGAGCCCTCCTGATTAACTGGACTGGTAAACTGGTAAAATAAAATCTAAATAATCTATCGATCCATTTTCTCACACTTATCCAACATGATGGCAGAAAAGGAGCCACTGTCCCCCCATTCTCTCTTCACACATAATGAAGAATGTTTCATACTTAATATTTTTTAATTGATCAGCACAAGAATTAGACAAAAAATATAATTAGACAAAGATAACCCGAGGAAAATCAAAATCCAGCTTAAGTGAAAAGTTATTCAAACTACTTTATTAAGGGAACAGCTTTGAAAAACTGCATGTTGTATTTACTTGGGTTCTTTTTTTACTTTGTCTAATTTTATAATGTGTTTAATGAACTGAAACATCGACGTGTGACTGTAAGGAAGAGGACTGCCTTACTATTATTTATATTATAATCTGTATAGCACTTTAGAGAACACCTTGCACTTTATTAAAGGCACCTTATCAAGCACTTCATTTAGCATCGCACTTTCAGCATGGATTTGCACAGTTAAACATTTGCACACAAGAAGTTTAATTGAATATTTACTGGGAATTTCAAAATCAGTTGCTAGCCTTGTTTCAGATCCTGTACAGCTGCTCTTCATCTAGGAACGTGGTGGTGTCTGTGAGGAGAAAGGAATGGTGATTGAGAGAACATAAGCTTTTACCAGTAAGGAAACCTGTGTTCTCTCCAAGGTGTTTGGGCAAATGTTTCCCCGGGGTCCAGACACCATTTAAAGGTTCCGGGAGAGACCATGGGTTAAGGGAGTGTGGGGAATCCTTTGTGCTTGGGTTTTTGGGGTTTTATAATATTGGGTTTGGTGTAGGATTAAAGTCTATAATATTTATTAAATGTGAAATGTATGTATTTATTTATTTATTCACATTGGTATATTGTATACTGTGGTGGGAGGTTGGGATTTAAGAATTCACCTGTGAGTGGAATAATGGTTTAGTCTGTGACAGCTGAAGGTATTTAAGGCTGCCAGCTCTCATTAGAGAGGGTTGATTGTGCTGTGAAGAAGCTCAAGAGTGAATTGTTTTTAAAGAGAGCTGTATGGCAAATAAATATAAGTTTGTTCCACTAAAATTGTCCCGTTTCTCACTGTAAATCCAGCTGCTAAGGGCTGCCTTGTTATAGTGACAAATAAGCAAATAGTTTTTGTCAGCAGTATTGGTGGACATACTTTTTCTACTGTCAAATCTACAGTCTCTACCCCATGTGCACGTGACGTGGCAGCCGTACATGAAGGTCACAGGTCGTAGCTCCTCAGCAGCTGTTATCACTGTGTCTGAAAAACTCTCTGAAGAAGCATGCCACACAAAGGGAGCTCGTCCTCCGGCTAAATTAGATCTGCATTGTTCAGAAATCGACTGAACAGTGTGTGTGTGTGTGTGTGTGTGTGTGTGTGTGTGGTGCTCCCTGTGCTGGCTTTAAACAGCGACTCATAGAAGCACAGGACTTCTTCATCATGCAGAGTGCATGTGCTGCAATCACATGATAAGTTAGCACATTTGCATTTTTAACACCTACCATAAATAACCTTGTGAGGCTGTGTGTAAACAGGGGCATCAGTGCTACACCAGCATGTGAGTGTGAGCTCAGGTCCAGCTGCTGTACTGTGACGTGATCCAGCTTTTAAAGGCTGCTGTATGCTACATCCTTTCTCTACAGACGTGAACACATCAGAATTACATCCCAGCATGAGACAGAACTAGTCATTAGTTGGCGCAGCATCCACACAGCTACAGGAAACAGCTCAGGCTGCTCGTTTCAGCCAATGTCATGATAAGACAGAGATGGAGACAGCAGGGAAGGTGAAATAAAGACATCATAAAAGAAACACAGGAAAAAAGAATGAATTTTGAAGTAGTGAATTTTTCCATTTTTCTGTTTAATGTACACAAAGAAGAGACTACAAAACAAACAAAACAAACAAACACTGAAAATTTAAAAGAGCTTCCACAGGAGCTCTGACCTATCGGGGCATGCAAACTGGAGCTATGGTGGCATCCTGTGGTGCTGGCAAAGGATTGTTTGGTCCTGCTGGTTAGCATGTTACAGTGCATGCCACATATGCTCCATCAGATTCAAATCTGCAGTTTCAAAGCTGGGTCAACACCTTGGCGGGGTGCAGTGTCTTGCAGGCACAGGCTGCTACCATGGGTTGGTGCCTGTCTTTGGTAGGGTTAAATGTAAAAATAATATCTACACATACAGCAGTAGTCTTAGATTTCTAGCAATACATTGCATTCTAATAACGTGATCAGTATTTTTCATGTTGCCTGTTGTGGTTGTGGCTGATAAGCACACTTGTAAACCCTGTAAACCAGCGGTCCCCAACCTTTTTTGCGCCACAGACCGGTTTATGTCCAACAATATTTTCATAGACCGGCCTTTCAGGTGTCGCAGATAAATATAACAAAATAAAACCAGTACCGGTACCAAAAAATGTATTCATAACACACAGGAAAAGACCCAGGGAAACAGAGTTAACGATAAAAATGATTAAAAAAATAACGCTAAAAACCGATAAAAACCTGAAACCCATGAATTTCACACCTGAGCCTCAACTCTCGCGCGGCCCAGTACTGGTCCGTAGCCCGGGGGTGGGAGACCGCTGCTCTAAACCACAAAAACAAACTTTTTACTCATTCAGCTCTCAAAAACTACGCTTATATTTTGTATTCAAACCGTGCATGACGTGAAAACCCGTCTCAGTTGTTTAGATCTTGCATTTTGGAATCCTTCAAACAGTTTGGACAGACTCAGCCACGGCCCTCGAGAGGGAGCATTATTCTTCTGAATGATGTTTATTTTTGCAGCAGGTATCAGAATTTGATTGCATCCAGATTGAGTCCGATGATTTGCTTAATTTCTTAGCAAAATCAGAGTAAAATCCTTCACATGCAGTGCACTGTACTGCGGAGATTTATTGTGTTAGTTCAGAAGTGACATCCCACTGCAGCAATGGCATCTTGTTTACCTTCGCCTACAGCTTGGATCAGTCTGTAGTAGAGGAAAAATAAACTCATAGCCCAATGTCAGAGGTGGGAACTGAACAGCCTTGTTATATTGCCTCTGTCAAACTTTTTACAGCACTTTCTGCATATCTATCTACATATACTATATAATCAACAATCTCAAAATACATATAAACTGAGTAATCCACAGTACATGGTGTTTAGTGATACCGACTTATCCCCACACACTGTGCTGAGGCTTTAACTTTGTGCCATTGAAAGTGTATGAACAAAAACACTTACAGGGTAGTAAAGATACATAAAGAGAGGCACTTGAGTGAATGCACACACACAGTTCAGGATCACAGTAACCCAAATAGTGGCAATGATATTTATGAGAGCGTGTGAGTCATGCAATCCAAAACAAGGCAGAGTGTGAAACGACTTCTTTAGAGCACAGTAGGTAGAGCGCACCAGTGGAGGGACTGTGGGAGGATGGTGGAGAAGCAGCATACCAGGCTGTAAATCTGCTCCATCTAGCTCTTAGAGAGGGTTGAGCATGTCTTCTTCCACAGCAGCTCAATGTCTGGATTTGAGCTCAGGAAGCTGTTTCCATTAAGGATTTGCAAAATATGTCAAAAACATGAAGTAAAATAGCTTGGGAAATTATCGATGTTACTTTAATAACATGCAGACTCCCTCTGGGAAAATGAATAGATTGCTAATGCCAAACTGATGTCAATGATATTTTTATCGTAGATCTATAGATTTAGACTTTACCACTGTGCAACAAATTTCTATCTGCTCAAGGATGTCCAGTAAGGTACGCTACCAGTGAATGAGTTAAGAACAAGTCTGCAACTGGGTGCCAGTTAACCTATTATAGCATAGCAATTTACTATTGACCTTTCAAATAATACTGCATCTTACAGGGTTTGATAAGGTATGGCATTTTCCCAGTTGCCATACGTCACATCTTACTCCAAAGACAATTGCTTAGCACTAACATAAGTGACAGAAATAAGGCCAAAGTCAGTCGATCTATAATTAAGATGATCATTTTTTATAACGTGTTGCTAATAGACATGCCCAGATGTATTAGAGATCAGGGTTTGAACATCCTACAGCAGAATAGCCTTTTTAATTTGCCCTGTAAGCCTTGAGCTATTGGCTCTAGACTAATATAGTAACAGCAGCTAAACTATGAGGTCAGAATGAAGTATGTTTTTGAGAGCGGGTGTGTAACTCAATATGCAAAAACAAATGAAGAGATTCCCCGTCACCTTTCTCCACTGGGTTTGAAGTCTACTGGGCCTTTCTTGCTTTACTAGACTGGATCTGCATTCCCAGATTGAGTCTCCGCTCTTCAAAATGATGCAAATGTAATAAACCTGTTGTAGTTTGTCCCTTTCTCATGAGAACACTTAATGAAGGATTTTGGTGTCAAATCTATCCTAAATAGTATAGGAAGCCATGGTTGAAATGAAATGTAATGGCGCTAATGTTTTTCTCTATTTTGTCTTCTTTCTCTTAGTTTATTGCCTTCGTGTCTTTGTTCTTCATCCTGGTTTCCATTACCACCTTCTGTTTGGAGACTCATGAGGCTTTCAACAAAATCATCAACAAGACTGATGTGGCGCGGGACAGCAACGTGACCGACTCAGGTCCACAGTATGAGATCGAAACGGATCCTGCTCTTACGTATGTGGAAGGTGTTTGTGTCTTCTGGTTCACCATTGAGTTCCTGGTGCGTGTGACCTTCTGCCCAGTCAAGTTGGAGTTTTTTAAGAGTCTTCTTAACATCATCGACTTCGTGGCTATCTTGCCTTTCTACTTGGAGGTTGGGCTGAGCGGCCTTTCTTCAAAGGCTGCCAAGGATGCGTTGGGTTTCCTCAGGGTGGTTCGTTTTGTTCGTATTCTGCGTATCTTCAAGTTAACACGACACTTTGTGGGACTTAGAGTACTGGGCCACACGTTACGGGCTAGCACCAATGAATTCCTGCTGCTCATCATCTTCCTGGCATTGGGAGTGTTAATTTTTGCCACAATGATATACTATGCCGAAAGAATCGGCGCCAAGCCCAATGATCCCACGGCTACCCTCCACACTAAGTTCAAGAACATCCCCATCGGCTTCTGGTGGGCTGTGGTAACCATGACAACACTGGGATATGGTGATATGTATCCAGAGACCTGGTCAGGTATGGTCGTGGGCGCATTATGTGCTTTAGCTGGTGTGCTGACGATAGCCATGCCTGTGCCCGTTATCGTCAATAACTTTGGGATGTACTATTCTCTGGCTATGGCCAAGCAGAAGTTACCTAAAAAGAGGAAGAAACATATCCCTCAAGCAGTGCAGGGAGGGTCCCCCACCTACTGCAAAGCTGATCTCAACACCACCTGCAACAGTACTCAAGGTGACCTGTGCCACGTCAAAGGGAGCAGGGTACTAGAACGCAACCGTTCAGGTAAGACCATATGTTTAGACAAAGGTCATATGGAAAACAGAACTAAGACGCTTTGTTTAACAGTTAATTCAGATTACACTGAAGGGGGTTGTTTATGTAGTGACAATGAAGAGAATTCATGAGGGACTTCCTTTCAGTTAGAAAGCCGTGGCCATCTGACAGATTCTACTGATTTCCCCATGTGACCCATAAGCTCCAAAGCAGTTTCCCTACAGATGACTGAGCTGTTTTTTACAGCACCAATGCCAAAGGTACAGAGAGTGGGAGATAAGCATTCAGACTCCTTGTTTCCAAGTGTTTCTTCCTGTAAGGATTGCTCATTTGGTGCTCAGACCGTAGGTGGCTGTTTTTCCCTCCAGTACCATATCAGTAATTGACTCTGACACATCTGATATTGATGGAAATTAATGTTGACCTCTGTATACTCGCTTTCTTTCAATTCTAATACAGACATTCCTCAGGGTTGGTGCTCCCTACTATCTGTTTATTAAGTCCCTGAAACTTACATTTAATAACCGCAGAATATTTCATGATTCATTGACTGGATGCACAAACAGAATCATTCTGCCATAGTCACCTCTCGGATTTTGTCAAAGGTCATTTAGAATTTAAGGCTGCAAAGATACTTTCCTCTCATGTGTCCTTTAGATAGGACATATAGATACCAGCTTTGTACTGAGTCTGATAGTTCATACAACCCCCAACCCTATGACATCAGAATATGTTGTTGTTTTAACTGTTGTTGGTAATGGCACACATATTTCTTTTCCAAATCATACAACTTGTTCTGAACAATTAGATATTTTTGCAGTTTTTAAATCTGTTAGGGAAAATGTTCTAAAACACTTCTTCAGTAAAGACTCAGAGAAGAGAAACACACAGAGTTCTTGCTAGCAAGGGCAGTCTCAGAGACTCGCACTAAGAAACTGCCCCAATCTTTATTTATACTTCAGTAGGTGTGTGTGTGTGTGTGTGTGTGTGTGTGTGTGTGTGT